CCTACGTGTCCCTTCAAGTCAGTGTTGACTTCTGGTGACTGCCCGGACTAGTCCCGGCAGTTTTCTCAGAAGTGGTTTGCCCTTGGCTTCTTCCTGCAACTGAGACTGGTCCAAGGTCAGCTTAAGGCAGGACTAGAACTCATAATCTCCCACTTTCGAACCTGGTGCCTTAACCACTAAACCAAACTGGCTCTCATGTAATATCACTTTACACTATAGTAAACCTGACAGCATTTTCCCCTTCCTCCTTGTTATATCAAAGACAGTCAAGATAGGGCAACAGTAAGTTTCTTTCTCATGCTATCTTGTCTTCTTGGACTTCATTCATGTTTTGCTAATGGATTTGGATTCCTTTTCCACAGTTAACTCTGCAAGATCTGAACGAGAAACTTTGCTGGCTCGTTCTCTTTGCTACGGAACCACTCGATCAAGCAAATGTTTATACCTGAGCCTGCTTCTGCAGCTCCTCTTTCAGATCATCGAAGTAGGTGGCATTTCCATCATATTCAGCATCAAACATCTCTTTCAATTTACGTTTCTTAGCGATACGCTTCTTCTGTTCCTCTTCCTCCTCAGCCACTTTGCTGTTTTTTCCCTCATTATCCTCTTCTTCTTCTTCATTTTCTGCCTAATGGGAAAGGGAAAAAAAACATTTAAGTCATTCAAGGCTTTAATTTTTCTTTTTTCAAAGAAACCTGCAGCACACAAGATTTAAAAAAAAAAAAAATCCTTGACAGGAGCCACTTTTTTACACCAAGCAATGCCTCTGAGCATGATTACAAGTTGGAATAATGCACAGGGTGAAAACCTCTATCACATCATGCAGGGTTTTCTGGCGGGCACAGCTCCACTGACTTCAAGTTCAGTATTTAGATCTGAATCTTTTACACATTTCAGAACTTGTGCTTTCCTCAGGAAAAGAGACTTAATTATCACACAACATCCACCAGTTAAGTCAGACATTGGTAATCACACAGTCTCAAACCTCATCTCCTTGATTAGTTGATCTGCCTTTATACACGGTTCCCGTCTCGAGGTCTTCAAAATCACCATATATTTCTTCTTAAAAAAAGCAGAAATCAGAAGCGTCATTCATCTTTCTAAGCTCCATCTTTCTGTTAGTCATCTGCCCATCTTACTGCCAACACTCTGGGTCATGCATGCATTACTCAAAATTACTAACTATGCACCCATCCAGCCCTACCTCAGATCTTCACTAGTGCCCGCCATACTGATAGCAAGGCCGAGGAAGAATATTAAGAAACAACATTTTTTCCAGGTACCCTCTAAGAGAATAACCAGTGAAAGATGCTCTCTGATTTACCATCTTCCTTCAACAGTTTTCCTGCATCTTTGTCAGCTTCCCAGTTTCCGGTCACAAAGCAGTCTCGGATGCTGTCCATTACCTGCAGAACAAAGATGTCTGTTTTACACTACAAAGACAGATTCACAGACCCCAAAATTGTTTTTTCCAGATTAGTCACCATGACTGGAGGGAAACTCACTAAACATGTTTAAATACTTTCAATCACGAGCTGTTTGACGAATATAGCCAGTCTGCACCTTTACTTTGGAAGGAAGCTAAAATAAAATGGTCAAGCACTGAATCATCATTTGTAGTCAGTCTAAAAAATTGTTTCATGGCTTATTTTTTTTCGTTCATTGACTCCCTCATTGCCTGTCCAAACACATTTATGGACAATGGTCCTTTCTCTTTTCTTCTCAAGTAACTGCCAATCATCTTCCTTGCTACCTCCACCCACTTCCCTCCCCTTTCTCTATTATGACCCAGGCCCATTTCTACCCTTTCTAACCAACAGTGCCTTGACTTTGGAGCCTAATCAATTTCTACCTGGTCTTCTCCTTCTCCCATTTTTTTTTCTCAACACGGAGGATGAAGCTTGAACAGCATTTTCAACAAAGTGGGATTGGCTAAAATCATACTTTAAATCATTAGTCGGGAAGAGCCGATCTAATGGTTCAAATCACAATTTATTCAGCAGTCAAGAAGATGGGATCAACCTCGTTTCTAGCAAAAGTGCCTCCCAGGTATTACATATCAATACATTTTCTCAGAGGGGTGGGTTATTTGAGAAGCTGCATATTATATAAAGTAATTATTCAGCCAGGTGTTTTTTTTCCCAGATCAAAAGGGGAATGATAATTCTGCTATCAAGTAAGTAACTACTTACTGATGAAGTTACTGGGAACTGAACTGTGTTCACTTCAATTATTGCAGTTGCTGGGAGAACATTTTTGCCACATGTACCACCATCTTCTAAACTGAACTATAATCTTGTTTCTCTATTTAACGATTTTTTCTAATCTTTGCATCTTTAGAGACAAATGAGTTACCAAATCTGCAAATTTATATCTCAACAGTACGCTAGCAAGTGGAATACAATGGTTAGTCACGTCTGAGCTATCTTCATTTTTTCAAACCTATTAAGAAATGTTTTAAATTCTGACTTAAATATTAAAAATGTTATTTTTTTCAAGTGCTCTCATTTCCAGTGCATCTGCATCAGGAGATGCTTATTTTAATTATTCCTCTACATTCTTTCTTCAACACTGCAGATTTTGTGAGACTCACAAACCATGACATTAGCACCACAACCTCCAGTTGTAAGAACACAGCACCCAACCAATGTCAAGAAGCCGCACCTCATCCAAGTCCCAGTCCTGCGGGGCTTCCACAGGAAATTTGGAGCAATCGAGAGCGTCAATCTTTCCTTTTGATTCTTTGTCAGGACGGCTGACGCGAAACAACCCTCCGAGTTCTTCATTTCTTTCTTCTTCTTTTTCATCATCCTCAGCCACTGAGTAAGAATCAATGCAGCGTTTTAGCTACAGTTATGTTTTCACCAAAGCGCTACGTTAAAGGTTCCAGAGATGGTGCATCTGCAGTTACGTAATAAAAGCACGCACAGGGGCTTAGCCCTTCTTCTGTAAGCAACCTGCATCCCCTCTCCTTCGGTCTGTGATTTGAACTGTAGCATTAATGTCACGGCAAATCAAAGAAAGCTCTTTCACTGCTCAGAGGCCTTGAGGCAAAAGTAGTGAACAACCCATGAACCTTCTAGAACTGTCAGACCGCATTATCTAGACAAACTTAGCCGATTGTGCAAAGCTACGCAAGCCTGGATCTGGCTAGTTCTTGGTTAGAGGACCACCAAGCCTGTAAACCAGACTGGGAAATTGAAAAAGAATCTGGAGGAGCCGCAGCTTGGCAATGCCGAGAAAACACACATCCTTGGCCATGAGGTCAGCAAGAGTGAGCCTGCCTCCAAAGACACTTTGCCCTTAGCTTTGAAAATGCCTGACAACACAAGTTGCATCTGAACTTATACAACCTTCTTCTTTTCTAAGCACAGCCTCAACATTCTGCTTGCATCATAATCTACACAGGACATTACCATCCTGGATCTCTTGGTCTACTATGCTTATTCATTTCACTAAAATAAACACGATCTTCTATCTCATTTAGTCATCATTTGCCAAGCTTTTACATTTCTCATAATTTATTCTTTGTTGCAGGAATTCTCCAGCATTAGTAATCACCACAATGGGTACATTGGAACACTGACAGATTACTGAATTTGGCTTTAGTTCTCATGGTCTGGCTTTTGGCTTGGCTAAACATGGAGAACATTTTCCTTAGCTAAATGCTGGGAAACAAATAAACAGGGTGCTGAGGACAAGCTGATTTATTGTGTGCAGGTTTGTTTGTTTGTTTGTAACTAGAATCCTGAAATCCACAAACCTGAGCCAAATGCAAAAATTATCTGCCTAGAATTAAAGAATCCCAAACACTAAAATCTGATGCATCTTAGCTTCATTTCAACACAGCAACCAGGGGAGACAGGGGTTCGTTATTATTAGAGCAACAAAATCCTTACAGATTTGGAATTCTCAGTGGGCAAGATGTTTCTCCCAGAATCTCAAGGCAATCTTTCTAATTCCCCACTGCCGAATAAAGCAAGAATGGGAGCCACCTCAGTGCAAGAACTGAGAAGACATTTAATTCCACTTGACTCCTGTCCTCGTAGCTGCAGTCTCCATCATAAGGGCCCTAGATGATAGACAGCATCCAACGAGAAGGTCTAGATTGCTGGAAGAGAGGCTACTTCTGCTTGTCTGGGCACAGGAACAGCTCCAAAATGATGGCATCTCAAGAAGGGATGGAGTCATGGAGAGGGAACAATGTGTTTTTTTAAAAAAACTAAAGAAAGGGATTGCCCAGCTAAGTCCAAGACACTGTTAAACTTTCTTGAGGAAGTGATAATCAACCCCAGCCAGTGAAAAAGTGAGTAACTGCAAGCCAGTTACAAACATCTCCACTGTGGATAAGGTACTGGAGTTAGTGGGTGCTCACCAATATTCCTGAATGAATTTGAATGTACAGGTTTTCTAGATACGTTCCAGTCAGATTCTATAGGATGACCTATGCCAAAAGACAGACAGAGGAATGGAAACTAACTGATCCTCTGAGACCTTTCCAAGGTAGCTGTCAAAATAAGTTACACTAGAACTGCATGCACTGCAATGGGTCCACTCCTGATATTACAGGTGGCATTGGATAATTCTTCTTTTTCCTGATAATTCAGCATGTTGCGGGTCTTTCGATAAGAGTTTTTAAAATCTATTTCACAGTTGTTTCTAGGAACACTGATGCTATGCCTCATTTAATTGTTTCCTTTGTTGTTTTGCTGCAGCAAATTTAGTTTTTGTTTGCACTTCTGTGGTAGGGAGTTAAGGGTCGGGGCTTACCCTTTTAAACCCAGTAAACCTCCCAAAAGACACTCCCTAAGTGGGTGGCATGTAAGTGTTGAAAATAAATAACTACCGCAAATCTCGAAGTGCTCTACCGCCAGTTCCAGATTTACCCTCTTCCCCCTCCCTGCATTTCAGCCTAGAATGCAGGTCCCTAAGAATCCCACCAAGCCAACACAGTGAACTCAAGAGCCATTCTCCTGGTTATTAATTGCAATTAAGAATCCAAATAGACAAGTTTTTACATGCAGGGGAAATGTTGAGTTTTCTCTTGCTTGCTTTCATTGTACTGATGATGGACTGATGACAATTTTACTAAACGTTTAGCTCTGACATTTGCCTAAGGTCCTCCCTCCCTCCCTCCCTCTCATAGCCCAGTCTCTGCTGCACTCTCTAATACCGACAGCTCAATGTATTTTTACCTGGCCCATAAACGAGTTTCCGGAAGTTGGGAGCAGACTGTTGCTGCCTCAAAAAGGCTTCAGCTGCCTTCTGGGCAAGGTCTTCCTTCCATTTCAGAGCCCCTGAAAGGGGGAGGAAAAAAATTGTTCCTTTAGCTGAATCAGATTAAACAGTCAATGATTTTCCCATTTCTTTTAATGACACTTACATGAATATGTCACCTAGGAATAATAACTTCATTGCTGAATGTTTATTTGAGCATGTTTTCTTAATCTGAGCTACAGAGCAAATATGTATCTCTACTCAGAAGTCTCACTGTGTTCACCAGGCTAATGCTCAAGTAACTGTGCACAGGATCTCAACCTTACTTTCCTTGACAAGTAAAGAAAAAGGCAAAGTAACTATGGAAAAATATAAAATAGCCACCAACAGTAGTGCAACTGAAGAATGTTTTTCATAAAACATTTGACCTGGTGGTCAAAAGTGATAAAATGCTTGGATAACACCGTCAAAAGGAAACGAGTAACTGCAGTAAAACGTAATGACAAGCATTTCAAGAGATTCATGTGTACATACCAACTGTTGCTGAAGAAAAATCAAATGCTTCTTCATATCCATCTTCCTCTTTCAACAGATCTTCAACATCATCTTCGTTTTTCATAAACGCTGAGTCTTGTATCTTCCTGCCCGTTCTTTGCAGCTGGGTCTCTTCCTTATCCGACCCTTCGAGGTCAGTATCATCCGCTGATCCGCCTTCCTCTTCCAAGGATGAAGGTCCATCTAAATCTGATCCTGGTGCCCCTTCAGCAGTCCTGTTCCCAGCATCTGTGGAGCAGGCTGCGTTTTTAGCTACCTTTCTTCTGTTTCTCATCTCTTGGTCTCTTTCACAGTATACAGGTCTACTAAACTGAGCTACATTTCTGGCAGTAGGTTCAGAACGGATTGTCTCCTCTTCCTCTTCACTTTCTTGTCCACTTTCATCAGCCTCTTCAAGGTCATTTTCTTCTTCTTCTTCCTCCTCTGAACTCTTCTCAAGATCATCATCGCTGTCAGCAAACACTGGCAATTCTGTTAGCACTGCATGTTCAATTTCTTTTTTACTCTGCTTGGAAGATCTCAAAACCAGATTCTGGTGTAGAAAATTATTGTCATCTTCTCCTTCCTCATTATTGCCACTCTGCCCCATGTCCTCCTCCATAGACATTTCCTCCTCCTCCTCCTCCTCCTCCTCCTCCTCCTCCTCTTCACTTTTGTCTTCATTTTCAAACACTGCTTTCCGACGCGTCCTCCCAGTTAGCGGGTCTGTTTTCTTTTCTTCTTTAGGCATTGCAAGAATCCTTATCAAATATAAACATTTAAAATCTATTAAGCATCAAGTAAAGCTTCATGAACCCTTCAGGAACAAAGACAGGATAAAGCACTTGACAATATTTTAATTGACCCTAGATAAATAATCCAATCCTACCACCTGAGAGCAACCTTTACATTGGTGGGGCAGGTTGGTGGATCTTTTCTACCCAAACAGAATAGCCAGCAGGGATATGCAAAGTACCCTGTTCCCAGAAAGGAATATTTAGTGAATCCCTAACCTCCAATACTGTTTCAGGTACAAACATCAACAGTGGATATGCAACTTGGTTATTGGTATTAAAGCTCCATGGAGTCAGACCATCAGGAAACTCCTCTGGCTATATTCCTTTCAGACCCATTATGGAAACAGAACGTCACTGAAATGTTCTCTGAACTGTTCCTTTCCATAATCAGCAACTGCCTTCTTGGCTGTGAATCTATTGCTTACCTTTCATTTTCAACATCCTCCGTCTCTAAAGGTTTGGAATCCATAAAGAGAGAGACTTTGCTAGAAGCCATCTTGGCATCGATGGTGGAATGTGCAGAGATGAGGCTCTGGACTAGTTCATGATTTGGCCTTTCTTCCTCCTGATAAATCAACAGCATTTCAGTAATTATTTTCTAACTTCTGTTTGATTAAGTTATTTGCCACAGCACTATTTTAGCAGCCTGTCAATAATCACTGAATGTTTCAGTGAATGTAAAAGGTTCGACAGAGGAACAAAAGTAAATTTAATTCTCACTTTATTTAATCTTCCCAAAGACCAATCAAACTTTTAAGGAAGAAAATAAAGCCCCTTTTCAACAACCTGACAATGTCAGATATTAGGCAAAAGCTACAGAGACCAATCCAAATTTCAGAATCCTTGCTATTACTACTTTGGTTCAAAAAACAGGTGACTGGTTAGAGCCAATTTTTCCAACACAAGATGAGGATGACAGCAATTAAGCAATTGCTTAATTAAGCAATTAATGAGCATAATATTAAGCCCAGAGCCTTAAACCGTACCTCTCTGTCTTGATGGGAGTGGCTTCCCCCAAGATCAATATACACGGCATCTTTGTCATACACCAAGCCCCCAACCCCTGAGAGTGGGGCATAAATCAGTTTCTCCTTCTCATTTAAGCATCGTTTCTTTTGATGCTCAGGAAGAGCACAAGGATCTGGCAGGAAACTGACATCGCTTACAGTGAAATCCCCGACACCTGATGGGGAAGAGATCCAAGAGAATCGCATATGCATCAAAATGGCAAGGACAGAGATTACGTCAGCAAAATCTTAAAGGGATTCAAAGATAAAATGTCTTACAATACTTAAGACTGACCACTAAGGCAAAGAAATCTATCAAATACTTATTGCTGATAAAAATTAGTTTAATTCTAATAGTTGGTTTCCTGCTACCAACATTCCTGAATCTGTTTCACAATTTAAATAATCTGTTGATATAGATATGCAGATACACACACACACACACATATATATACATGCACACACACACAAACACACTTGTAGAACTGTTACCATTGTAATTTGCTTTACATTTTATATATGAATAGCTGTGAGAGCTGGATGGAGTTCTAAAAATGTAAAACAAATTATTTTGTTTGTCTGTATGTTTAAATAATTTGCATGGCCGCCCATCTCATAAGAGTGACTCTGTTACAATGGTGAAATTTCTACAAGCATAAAACAAAACTGCTTCCCTCAATGACTTCAAGGGAATAAAAAAGCTTAAACTGTAAAAAGAAATTTAGGCGTTTTGTACAACCAACTTCCTGGTCCACCAACAAAGCAGATGAAGCGATAGACTGTCTAAGAGTCTGAATGCAAATAAGAACCTGGATGCCTTAGGCAAGCCATTTGCAGATAACCCCACAGTAAAACCTTAATATTTGTCTTCTAGGGCTATACCCACATCAAAAATAATACAGAAGGACTTTGGACCTCAACTGAGCATTGACCATCTCGATCTGGGACTTGCTGGCTGGAGAATTCTGGGAGCTGAAGTCCACATGCCTTAAAGTCGCTGAGGTTGAGAAACAGGGGTTTATGCAACTCTTAAAAGTGACATCTTTTTTTTTTTTTTCAGACTTGTATGGAAATTGTTCACCATGGAAAAAGAAATGGACGGTAAACTTCCATTTCTAGACACGTTGGTCATACGCAAACCAGACCTCAAATCAGGACACAAAGTTTACAGAAAACCCACTCACACAGACCGGTACCTACACAAAAACTCCAACCACCACCCACGTC